GCATAGGGGGGATAAACCACATCGCACAGGACTTTCTGTGCCAAGGCAATGAGCACGTTCTTCACCCTCTGCAGGAAGGTCATGTGATCTGAGTTCAAGGACATAGAACTGGGCACATAAGACAGTGGGTTGGGACACTGGGTGGCCCCATAGTGCAGGCCACATGGCAATGCATTCAGGAAGAAAACAGAAGGCACAGCCAGGTACTGGGCCACGATGGCACCACAAGGCAAGAAAGGGTCTGTCAACACAGCGTCGAAGCTGCTTTCCCCCAGGGAGGCCATCAGCTCCTTGTTGTGCACGAGGTGGGAACAGCCAGAGAAAATCAAAGCAGAGTCCTTTTTGATTTTCTTGTACATTCTGATCACACGCTGCAGGAAAGGATAGTTCGCAAAAACATCATGCCCGAGTTCAACAAAACTGGCCTCCACGTCCTCCCTCTGGAATGGCACAGGGTACCTTTTCAAGGTGTAGGATGAGCCTTCTTTTACATGCAACAAGGCATCAGGTGCCAGGACCACTACTTCGTGTCCATTCTGCTGCAGCTTCTGGATGACCCCGACCATGCTCAGCCAGTGGCTGCCGTCTATTGGGACCACCAACAGCTTGCCAGCATGGGACACTGGGGGCCTGAGCACACACAGGAGGAGGCCCAGGACCAGTGGATGTGGGCCCTGGGATGCCATGGCCATGGCGCCCTTGCCTTTGCTCTCCTTCCCCTGCTCCCATATAGCCAGAGCCAACGCACACACCAAGTTAATGTTTGATCGTGTCACATGATTAAAGCCACCAGTCTGCAAGGGCAGCAGGGGATGGACCTTTGGAAGGGATCCACTGCTTTTCGTGATAGGCCGCAACAGATGATTTGGGTGGAGTCCCGTCCCCAAGTCACATTCTTGAGTAAGAAGAGAAAGAAAAATATCTCTAGCCTTTGGATCCATTAAATATTTTCAGAGATGAAGAAAATATTACCAGAGAGACAAAAGGATCACAAGGTGACAAAGTAGTCTTCTTTTCCAGAAACAAAACAACATTTCTTAGCCTTTCAGAAGCCTGCCATTGTAGCTTCCCATGAGCCTGCGGAACTCAAAGCTTCTCCTCCATAGCTCGCTTGGCACCTTGCCTGACCACTGGCACTGAATTTTGGTGCCTTGTTGCATGGAGCCCAATAAAGGAAGCAGATGAACAAGTACAAGAATTTGTACAATGTGCCAAGCACAGTCAAGCTAAGCATTCTACAACATGTTTTATATAATCCGTTAGAGCTGCCCTGAAACAACAGATACCGTACTACTGTCCCCATGTCACAAAGACACTGAGGCTGAGAGGAGCACACAGATATTCCAGATTTCCTAAGTGATGGGGCTAAGACCTGGGCCCTAGTTTTCAGTGCCCAGAGCTCTTAGTTGCCAGCAACACTTGCAATCTCTAGTAGCACAGAGAGTGGTACCCAGTCCTCGATTGCAACTTTCAACGAATTATAAGTGAGAAAGAAAGCTGTGATCCCCAAGTCATCATTCAATTAACATAAATGGGGAAAAGGCAGACTAAAGGACCACAGTGAAGGAGGCGGGACTCACAATGCACCAGCTAGTGTCCCAGGAGATCAGGGCATGCTCACCCTGTGCTGAAGAACAGTCAAACCAGTGTGTAGAGAGAGCTGAGCACGAGACCACTTTCTTTTCTGACCTGTTGCTGTTCTATTCAATCCCAGAATGAAAGGACAGATCCCAACATCACTGGCCACTCATCCCTGTAGATATGCTGGAAGGGCCATGGAGGAAGGGCTAACTTTAAAGCTTTGGTGTCTCATGTGGGCACCTCTACTCTGTACTTAGTTTCCTGCTTCCTAAGCCAGCACCTTTCTTCAATAGACCTCTAGATTTGCATGAGCTTCCCTAGGGGTGCACTCTTGTGCCCTGAAGCTCCTCCTCAGCCTCAACACTCTTGCTTAGACCTGGCAGAAAAGATGTGGCACTGCTTCTGTTCTTTATTGATTGCTTCTCTGTGATTCTGAAATCTTCAGTTCAAGTTAAATTTTAAAAGCAATAATTTTTTCCTAAATTTTCCACGTCCCAAAATCACGAGCGTTCATCTGCAGAATCCTTGTAAGATGTTGAAAACCCAGTCAGCACTATAATGATCTTGTGATTTTTCTTGCATCACACGGAGCGTCAGAGCTATTTATCTTGGATCTATCTATGTGTTTCTTGTGTGGTGCTGGGGATCAACACAGGGCCTCACACATGCTAGTAGGAGGTGCTGTGCCACAGAGCTACACCCCAGGCCTTGGAAATGTTTTGAGGCTGCTCTATACCTACATGGTTTGGAGCACCACTCTGCCCCTAGTGAGGGAAATGCTGTTTTCTAATCTGAATGCCCAGCAATCCACATCCATCCTCATGAACCACTATGCCAACCACTGCTACATAATCCATTAAAGCCTCTGCCTGGTGGTCTTAGGAAACCTGACACTTCCGTTCTATTGCTCATTTACTCTTTCGCCACATATTTAAGGACCTGGGAGCCCTACTATTTTTCAGACACAGTATTAGGAGCAGGATCCGAAAATCAGGTTAGAAATGTCTTCTGCTATAAGGAAAAGGTCCAGCTGGCAGAAATGAACCAGGCAGTGATAGAGCAGAGCAGGATGTGTCCTGGCAGAGGAGGAAAGAGAGAATGGAGCCACCTGGTCTGGCCTGGGAGGCTGCTGAGGAGTGAGTGTCTGTGAAAGCAAGGCTCCTGGAACCCACAGACTTTCTTTCCTAAGGGACAGCTAGAAGTGAATAGGCCCACCTCTTGGGACTCTCTTAGCTCCTCTGATTAGATCAGAAGGGAGGGGCTCATTACAAAGGAGTGACATCAACACTCCGCTTTGCTGGATCTTGAGTGGGACTTTCCAGCAGGAAACAAGGCTGTCTTCCTCCAATTTCTGCAGCATTTTCTTCTGTTCTGCCTTCCACCATGGAGCCGTTGGCTACTGGACTGTATATACATGCACACCTTCCTCATAGGTGGGATTTTAACTCTGGGACCATCATCTCATTTTCGCAGACACTGAGCTCTTCTTCATGGACCAGCTGCCTTTCTCCTGCTCTAGGTGTCACAGCCAAGCGAATGCTGCAGCTGGATGTTTCCACCGCTGCCTCTCGGGCCTCACTGCCATGTTTCTCTTCCAAGGCCAAACTGCAGGCCTTGAATGAGATCTGAGTTTAACTCGGGCTCATTGTCTGAGGCAGGGAAATGTCCCACACAGGTGTGCACATCTCACTTGCTGGAACATGTGCATGGGTTACATCACATGGCATAGAGGCTCTGCAGATATATCTGAGGGTCTTGAGAAGGGAAGACCATCCCAGTGCTTGCAGGTAGAGTCGGTGTCACCATAAGGACATTCATAAGTGACACAGAGACATAGGAAACAGAACTGAACATATACATGTCTATTTCCAGAGTCAGAATGGAAAAGGAAATGCTTCTTTAAAAGGGAAAAGGAAACAAGACGAACTCCATACTAAATGGAAGGACTGAATCAGCCACATTGTGTCATGGATAGAATTGTTCCATGAAAAGAAACTACCAGATTGACGTTATAAAAGTCAACATTTGAACTTTTCACTAAAACTTCTGAAAGTAGAGATAGCAGTAGCACCACTAGTCTCAGAACCGGTAGATTATAAGAGGTCAAATTCATGGGTGAAAGTATGAAAATGTGTGCACAATGTACCTGCATGCACCAATCTAGAAGCTCTTGTGTACAAAGCAAAATACTCAGAATTACAAACGTAATTTGAGCAATTATCAGTTCCATGAAGGGAAAAATGTTATATGAGACAAGCTTTTGACAATTGGGACTATTCAATAAAGTGTTTCATGCATAAAAAGTGCAAAGACACAATTTGCATGATTCCATGAGACATTTACAAATATTTATCACACAGCAAGCACCACTGGCTACACAGGACTATTGAGCACTTGAGGTGCCGGAGTTCAAATCCAGACAAGCAATGCAATAAAGTGCACTTTAGACTTCTGCTTCTACTGAATGCTTGCAACTCCTATAAGCAAGTCTCCATCCTTTCTCAGACAGGACTGCTACAAACTATCATATCAAAACTTGCAACATGCTAGTTCGTTTATCTTTCTATTGAAGAGCTCCAAACTATACTTCTCTCTAATGAGTGAATTCACAGCACAGTTTCTCCACTTGTGCACATCTGAAGGAAAATTACCCCATCACGAAGACAGTGGTTGACACAGGGACAGTCCTTGTAGAGTCACATTGTTGTGTGTGCAGCATTGCCCAGAGGTAGGTATGGGATGGATATGCAGAGGTATGGGCTTTTGGAACCACCTGACCAACATACTCCCAGAATGCATGGTTAGAGATGAAAAGACAGGCCACAGGGCCACAAGTCCAAGAGGGATCCAAACACATGGCCTTAAACAGTGAAGGGTCTAGCCTTCTCCTCACCATACACTGATTGGCAGTAAATTCAGTCATGTAACAACTACCCAGATCTTCCCTGGCCTTCCCTTGTCCTGTACTTAAATTCATGTACAGACTCCTTTCTGGTGACCTTTATTACTATTTCATGCTTCTATCAAGGAAACACCATGGAAACTTCAGTTCAGGGCTGTCCTCATGAGCCTCTCTCTATGCTGAGTGGTCTGAGTTAAGGAAAGACCCTCAGAGCTTTCTTGGAGTTTCAACACTGAGGAATCTCTCATTGTGTGCTCTTTGTGGTGGTCACAAACATTGACAATAGCTCCTCTGGTGTATTCCAGATTCTCTCCTCTGCCTATCTGTGTTCTTGGTGGCTGTTGTGAATTTTAGGCATGCACATCCTACTGTGAACACTTCAGTAATTACTGCATCAGAGACTCGTACAGTTGAAGAGGTAGACTTCATAGGAAAGACAAGAAAGCAAGTAAGTGCTTGAAAGCATTTTTAAATACTTTCTACTATAGGATTGATTGGACAAAGGTACAAGACAGACCTGAGAAAGTGGCTTCCTTCTGATACAGTTGATGCCCCCGATGAAGACCATGTTGGGCATGATGGGCCTGGGGTAGTCGAACACAAAGTCCCCTCTGAACAGCCACACAGAAGCATGGCTGAGAATGTCCACCAGAGACACGTCTCTCTGGAACAGTTCAGATGCGATTCTTGCATAGGGAGCAAAACTAATGTGGCATATGTGGTTCAAGGCCAGAGGATACAGCATGTTCTTGACTCTCTGCAGGAAAGTCATGTGGTCAGAGTATGTTGTGAGCAACTGCGGAATATAGGAGGAAGGGTTCGGACACTGTGTGCCCTCAAAGTCAAAGCCACAAGGTATGGCCCGCAGGAAATAGACAGCAGGAATACGCAGATACTTAGCCAGAACTGCCCCACAAGGAATCATAGGGTCCGTGATAATCACATCGAAGGAACTGGAATTTAGTTGGCTGATCAGGGAACTGTCATGCAGCATCTCCACACAAGACCTCTCATAGATTGCTGAACCTTTCTTCACAATTGCCGTAGTTTCTAAAAATGTCTTCAGATAATGCTGTGTTTCAAAGATCAATTTAGTGTGGCTCAATATTAGGTGATGAAATTCTTCCTCGGTGTAGTGAGAGGTATAGGTTTTCAAATTGAAGAAGTCCTCTCCTTTCACGTGCAGAGTGACATCTGGAGCCAGGACCACAGCCTGGTGTCCTCGGGCGTGGAGCTTCCTCACAACGTCCTTCATGCTGAGCCAGTGGCTGCCCTCCATGGGGACCACCAGCACCTTCCCACACTCAGCCCACGGCGTGACACACACCAAGAGCAGCAGCCCCACCAGGCCTCGCAGAGGCACTGGGAGTGCTGTGGCCATGTCCCCAGAAGCTGGGGAACTGACCTGACACACACACTGTGCCTCCTGCTTGACTTCTTTATATTCACCCTTTTATCATGAGCAAAATGGCACATCACTGTCAGGTGGGAACCACTCCCTTAGTTAATCATTGCAGATTTAACCCAGCCCTAGCTTTCATGACTGCCCTACTCCTGTGAGTCCAACCAGGGAGAGTCTGATCTTATCGCTTCTCTCCTGGAACAACTCCTCTGACCTGTTGCTCTCTCTGGGGGACACCGGAGTTCACCTCATCTTTTCTGTGCAATTCTCAAAAGAAGGCACCTGTTTCATTCATCACCTCCTCTGTCACCCACATGCTGGAAGGCTGCCACTGAGCTCTGAGCACTGCTCCAGGCTTTGGTTGCCACTGTAACTTCTCTCCTGGAGGTCGTCTTATCCTGTATCCTTAAAACTTTCCTGCCTTTCATTAGCAACCTAGAATACATCAGAAAGCCCATAGATTGCCAGGCCAACTTGCTCCAATCAAGGAGGTGGAAGCTGATACCCGGATGAAGTCCACTTTGCACAGCAGATCTCCCTGTGAGGGTCACTCTGTCTGCGCGTAATGAGCAGCGTGGGAAGAGCTGCATGGACCCTGACCAAGAGACTCCATGATCTCCTGCTGCTGAAGGGTCTGCAAAGAGACCCTCATCTCACCTAAGGCATGAGTTTCCTTGGACCGGATAGGAAGCTTAGTGGGAGAGTGCTTGTCCAGCAGGGCTGAGGTCCTAGCTTATATCCCCTATCCTGTGCAGAGTCTTAAAATTACTTCCTAAGATTCGTAATATATGGAGATTCTGAAATGGTCAGCAGAATAGCACTGACTCCTAACTTTCACAGGGCACACACAGAACTGCTGGAGAACTATTCAGAATTCTTTGCTCTCGGTGACTGTGGAAAGGCACTGCCTTAGTTGTGAATGAAAATGGGGAGAGAAAAAGGAGACACTTTGGAGAAGAGAACAGAGATTGAGAAAAGTTGTCCCAGCACTAATCATCGGGTGCTACAGCAGAGGACGAAGGTAGAGGGGCAAAGAAAAGTGAGGAGAAATTCCAGAAAACAAACGCATCCAGCACAGAGCTCAACATTTTCTACAAGTGCAGATGAAAGTGCAGACAGTGACTGGGATTTGCACCGGATTCTGCCACTGTGGAAGTTCTTTCCCGTTTACAACACGGAATTGTGTTGCATTATCCAGGAGCCAGCTTTTGAGTGCTGAATTTCTACTGCTTTTGGAGTCAAAGTCCTCCCTTTCCTATCTGTGAACCAGCAGCAAGAGCCATGCTCTGACCTGGCAGGTGATGGCTCTGGGAGCTATTTGCTAAGAGAGAGTTTCTGGAGCACTGCCACTGAGAGTCACTGTGGCCAGAAGCTGTGTGATGACAGGGGAAAGGTCACTTTGCACTTAGGAAGGTCATCTTGGGAAACCAGCTACAGGAACTCTGGGAGGAGAGAAGTTGCCTGTGAGGCATAGGAGATGAGTTTGAGGACCCCAGAGCTGGAGGTGGAGAGAGTGGGGGAGGCTCTGCTGCCACCCTCTGGCTGGGTGTGGGGGGTGTGATCCACAGTGTCCCTGTGTCCCAAGAAGTCATCAACATCACAGAACTGGCAAGGGCCAAGGTCTGAGTTGTGTGAGAGGCGTTCAGATAGCTGTGCACCACGGAGAAGGCTCATTGGGAGCAGGGGGGCCAAGCGGTGGAGGAGCAGATGCTGGAGGGTGACTGGAGAGCGTGCAGAGCCAGGGCAGCCAGTCTCCAAGAAGTGCCCCAGACCAAGCCCTGCATCCTGCTGATCACGTCTGAAAGTGTATTCCCAACAGCAAGCCAGACCTGCTCCTTATGGGACGCTGCCAAGGAGATGGAGCTGCAGAGATGTAGGGAGGACCTGCTGAGCATGGACGAGGGGAAGATTTCCTGTGCATCCTCCAGAATCGCCAAGGTGATGGCTGCTCTCCAGAGCCGGAAGGCCAGGGCTGTCCTCGGCTGGCTGCACATCTCTCCGTGGGTGGCAGCTTCCCCGGCCTTTGGTGCAACAGGTGCCTCTTATGTTAATGTCCTGCATGGGTCAGGTCCCAGGGGGTGCCTGGCACAAAACAGGTGCCCCACACTCCCTGCTGGCTCCTCCTGGTCCCCACGCTGTGCTGCCCTGAGCATGGAGCAGGCATCCAGCGATTCAGCTGGCCCTGCACACTGGCACCAGCACACGGGCACACTGAAGGCACAGTCATGGGCGGAAGTGCCCAGGGCCTCTCCACAGGGCTTGGGATGTCATGGGGTGATGAGGCCACATCTGCCCCAGGGGTGGAGGCTGCCTCCTAGTGAAGGGGGCCTTACAGAGTGGCAGGAGGAGGTCAGAGGGTGTCAGGGCTCAGCACACAGGCTCGGGGCGAGCGGGGTGGAGACAGGGAGAGTTTGGGGGGCAG